ATTGTATGGCGAGGAAGACAGAATAAGGTCTCTGGTGTATTCGCTCCACTTCGTAGTTTTCTATTACAACAAATATGTCATCAACCTAGCGGACCTACCCTCACTTCTAATTTCGTCTGAGGACAAATTGCTTTAATCAGCTTGACAATTCACGAGTAAAATTCGCTTTTACCGAAGAACGTTCTTTCTTCATAAATTACTTCGGTAGAGGGATCACCACGAATATAAATATGCAGTGTGCGAAAACAGTGCATAAAGCATCAACCGTTTTCAAATAGAAATAAGGGCTGCCGTAGTAGAGAAAATGTATTTCGGTATTACAATGCTTCTTCAGTAATACCTCCTGATCGAAAGCATGATTCATGATTTGAGTCAGTTGTAAGACAAGAGCAAAAACGCAACTTCAGGGAGGCCGTTAAGAAGGAGAAGATGCTATCGGTGAAACAAGCATTTTATTCAGATTCTGGCTAGGTCAGCGTATTCGGCGATTCAGCGCATTACACGTGTCAACAAAACCTGTTTGTCGTTTTACCACGACTTAAAAGTTACGCCGAGTCAGGACAGGTCTGTGGCTTATCCGGAAAAAATTACCATAAAATCCCCCCTCCTCGAAGACGCTAAAACTTGTTCTCGAATTTTGTTTTCAGAAATGATTTTATACCGTCAACCCAGGAAAGTGAAGTCTAAATTTCTACCGGACGTGACTTCTACCCGCAGAAAGTTCAAAAAGTCCAGTTTTAAATCTCAAGTGCCTGGAAAGGTCACAGAAAACCAAATTGTCGCCCGGCTAGGTACTTATTTCCATTCAGTTATACTTTTTCTGTGTAGTGAGGAGGGAAAAGACTGAAGAACTTTCAAGTTGCGCAAACGCAGGAGCGAGCAGGGAAGGAACTTGTACCAAAGGCGCACAAGAACCTGAATTTAACCTTAAACTTGAAAGGACCCTGGATTCTGAAGATATGGAGGCGGCAGCAACTCGACTCCTTTCCACCCGTCCGGCAGACGCATACGAAAAGTCGGTGGTCGAACGCGCCTTTCCCACTGAGAAATCCCTGAAGGTGCAGAATTTAGAATTAAGCGTTGAGAGGGACATGACGTTTTCACGAGGAATAGCTTTCTGTCAGTACCTAATTGAGAATAGCGCAGAATTATCACGAACATGGAGGAAATGGCAAGCTCAACCTGGGCCTAAAAATCAGTGCCACCTGTTTAACGAGAACGAGTAAGCAGTCGGCGTTTTTTCTTTGTTTTAATGAAAAATTCAAGATTCAAAAATATTAAGGAACTGGATCGTTATCTCTCTTCAATAATTCAGGGTAAGCTTTCGTCTTTGTCTTTATGCTTTTTTCATGACGTGCTGATTGAAATTATCAGAAACGTCGAGATGTTCCAATTATAAGATGCCCCTGGTCCGTCAGCTGAGATGGGGTCAACTTGGAAATGTTTTTTCCTCTGGGGTGGCAGCCGTTTATCACGTGAGAATAAATTATAGGTATAGGGGTTGCTACGGATCACAGACAGTTATTTTACATATATTCATCCCACAGGCGCTCATCCCCGGTATACGCTTACCACAAGCCACAATCTTCGCCGTCCAACAACGCATCGATCGAATCCCCAAGGAAAACTGAACGGTAAGGGCTGAAGAATAGAAGTGTATTGACGTGATTAGTACAACGTATTTAAGGGCAAATAGGAGTCTACGCGTATGTACATGGTTGGACTACAATCGGACCAATCCGATAGTGTCCTTGAGGGGCAAGCATGTTGACTGGTTCTCCGGCTCATCCGAGTGGCTGGTCAGAGCATTCATCCCGTCGGCTGTTTGTGCGATAGGGCCAATCGATAGTGCGATGTAGGACGAGTCATAAGGTCGGTGTGCGAGTGAAACGGTTAGAGCTGCGCCTACCAAGTTTGACATTCTCTACACTCTTAGTGGAATGCATCGCTGTATTTAAGGCAAGCAGCGCGTGTACAAGATCGGACCAATAAGATAGGGGCCCCGAGTAGGTAGCATGCCGACTGGCATGGGAGAGTGCTAATCCTGGCCGCAGATTGTGCGATATCATCATCCGCTCGGCCTATGGACCAATCGATAGTGCGGCGTGGGACGAGTCATTAGGTCAGCGTGCGAGCGAGGTGGTTAGGGCTGCTCCTAACACCCCCTCCCCCCATGCGCTGAGGTGTAGGAGACTGTAGGTGAATGACCCCATACGCACCACCTAACCGTATTCCCTAACCATTACTCTAATCATATGCTTAAAACTCGAACTTAAACCCCAAGTGCACCCCGAACCTAAAAGCACAAATCCAAAAACCTGAACCTAAACCATTACAATACAACCCAACCGCAAAAAGGTTAAACTGCTCATCAGCTGCCATCTGTTGTTGCATAAGATTAATAAAGAATGAGGGAATTCAATAATTTGCATTCGTACAAAAAATCGATTCAAAACAACCAGGTTGTGGTATATTGCAGAGTGGGCTAATCAATAAAGTTAACAAAGAAGAACAACCTATGCGAAGCAAAAGTGGTTGAAAACTCTAAAGCAAAAAAGAGGGTAAATGTGTAAATCTAGGGGCTGGACTTTACCAAGGCAAATTTAAGTTAACCACGTGCTTTAACTGTTTACATAGTCAGGTTTCACCCGTCGTATATAGGCTGCCTTCAGCTTCTCTTTATTTGCTTTAAAGGTTTCCCTTACTTTTGTTTCTCACAGGTTGTTTTAAGTTGCTAGATCTATTGACTGACCTAAGTGGGAATATACCATGATGTTGCTGTTTTGTATCGCATTTTCTGTACGAATCTAATTCTTTGTATTCTTACATCCGTTATTAATGGTGTGCAGCGGCAGGGAGCAGCTGATGAGCGGTTCCGAAATTTTTTGGTTCCAGTAATTTCTGCAGTATTTGCATGCTTATATTTAAGTAAATTACAGTTGCCTAAATGCAATAAGTAGGTAGTTATGTTACAGCCACCCACTTAAGGTATGTGCCATAGCTTCACTCAGCCACAGGTCTTTGCGCAGGTTAAAATGCTCTTGTAAGCTATGCCTTTTTAACGAGGACAACGTGGAATGTTTTAGGTATATTAATTACCATGTACATCTCATTAAACCTTTCTTCTGAAGGTCAGGATGAAGGCTTTACGCCAGAGGATGTAGAAATCATGAGAGCCATTCATTCCGGAGGTTACCTACTAGACCTCAGTGGTTGTATCTTGTCAAGCCTGCCGGACAAAAGGCTTCTCCTTGAGGCACTTTACGAGCTCAATCTGTCCAACAATAACTTCAAAGTGAGTCATATATTATTCAAGGACTTCTAGGAACCGTAGTGTCTATCTGAGGACCTTTGTTCCCTAAGCACGTTGCGTGTACTCAGTATAAAAAACAATCCGATATCAGTGCTACCAAACTGTGTGCAAGATCTTTCAAATCTGAAAAGCCTTGACCTGTCATATTGCCTTCTGGAAGCCTTGGAACTCGGGTAGGGTTACTCCTATTTTTACCATCCTTAGTTCATATCTGACCAATCCAATGTACCTAAACACAGTGATAAAAACTTTTGAATTTACTTATATGCACTATGAGCAGATAGCAATGGCGGGGTCTTGATGGTTTTGCAAATGATATGACTATTTGAAAGTTGGCAAGCTAGCATGCAAAGATTTGCCACAGTGGTCTAGTTAAATGACAGTTAGTAGAAGGTTAGGCGACAAGAATTGAACCAGGACTGTTAGCGCCCAGACAATACTTCAGTTCAGGAAAGTCGTGGCGGTGTTTTAAAGACTATACACTCGTAAGTTTTTTTATAAAGTCGGATGTATTACCAAATACTAAGCTTATAGGTTACCTTCGTTTAACTGAAAAACTTGGACACAATGCAGTAATTTAATGCGGCCAAATTATCTGATCTCCGCATATCAAGGTGTTGTAAACAGTGGAAAACATTTCAACACCACGAAGAAAAAAATCTTAACCAACAAATTCTCTTTTGCCTTATTAAATTTCTGTGTTTTAAGATTCCTGGTAGCACTCATAATTTATCTAGGTATTATTGAAAAACTCCGTTTCAGATTTTACCACCTATCTGAACTCGAGGTTTGCAATCTGGGATTCAACTTTCTTAT